GCCGCGCCGGGCCTGCGGGCTCTTTCCTTCGGCGCGCACGGCGGGGGGAGGACGGGCTTGCGGGGGTGCGTCCCCTCGCTCTCCTTCCAGCGCTGTGAGAAGGCGAGAGCGGGCCTGCTGCTGGGCTCCTTGCAAACACCGTGGTGGTACGTGCACGTTGAGGGTGAGGGCCGAAAACGGGATTCACGCAGAGCTTTGGGTGCAGATTCGTTCTTCTCCTACCCCACGTCTTCTGCTCGCTTACTGTGCTGCAGCAGAAGTGCTGGTTAGCCATTCCTGTTGAGACCAAAAATTCCCTGGAAGTTTGCAGTTCTTAAAGTTGTACGTTAGGCACGTATAAAACACACACAATGCAAAAAGAGGTAACGCGTTTCTTTCGTGTCTTCTTTTGCTACAGCAATTGCTGATCTTACTTAAGATTTGTTAGAAACTTTTGTGTTTTAGATAAAGCCTAGTGGTTAGGGCCCTTGTCAGGGAGCAGGAAACCACAGCCAGTGAAGAATCAAATCCGTGGTTCATAAAGAATTCCAGGATGATCTGGTAGTAGTAAATCATGATGGGTGCCTACCTTGCCTATTCGTACCTACTACGAATACAGTAGTAAAGCTGTATTCGTTCTGTGCCACAGAATGCAAGATTCACTGCACCAACGTGAGGTGCAAGGGCTAAAGGATTGTGGCTCTTGTTTCCATCACTTGAGCTGACATACATGTTCGTTCAGCTGCACCGAGGATTAGGGAACTGATTCAGCTAAAAATCCAGTAGCAAAGACCCCACCTGTTGATGTTCTAAAAGTCACTTGGCAGAATGAATGCTCACTGCTAGGCACTTATTTTTGTCTATGGAATGTGTCTTTCACTGAGATATACTGTTTACAGATGCTCTCTCACATTTATGTTTTATGAGATAAATGCTTTCAGTGTGCCCAAATAATAACAGACAGTAAGCATTCAGACTTGGAAAGCAGTCTGTTGTAAAAATACCCATGAGCTGCTGGAAACTAGGAGATGCATAAAGTTGGACTTGGGCTGGACTTATAATTCAACTGAGGTTTTAAACTGGCCCTGGGAAACATCAAATAAATGCAGAAACCAGCTCAGAGGTCCTATTTTTCTTAAAAAGTTTGACCTCCTATCTCACCATTTTGTAAGCATTGTATAGGATAAGGAACTCTCCCAGACATGAGGTGAGGCCGGGCCTGCGGGCTCTTTCCTTCGGCGCGCACGGCGGGGGGAGGACGGGCTTGCGGGGGTGCGTCCCCTCGCTCTCCTTCCAGCGCTGTGAGAAGGCGAGAGCGGGCCTGCTGCTGGGCTCCTTGCAAACACCGTGGTGGTACGTGCACGTTGAGGGTGAGGGCCGAAAACGGGATTCACGCAGAGCTTTGGGTGCAGGTTCGTTCTTCTCCTACCCCACGTCTTCTGCTCGCTTACTGTGCTGCAGCAGAAGTGCTGGTTAGCCATTCCTGTTGAGACCAAAAATTCCCTGGAAGTTTGCAGTTCTTAAAGTTGTACGTTAGGCACGTATAAAACACACACAATGCAAAAAGAGGTAACGCGTTTCTTTCGTGTCTTCTTTTGCTACAGCAATTGCTGATCTTACTTAAGATTTGTTAGAAACTTTTGTGTTTTAGATAAAGCCTAGTGGTTAGGGCCCTTGTCAGGGAGCAGGAAACCACAGCCAGTGAAGAATCAAATCCGTGGTTCATAAAGAATTCCAGGATGATCTGGTAGTAGTAAATCATGATGGGTGCCTACCTTGCCTATTCGTACCTACTACGAATACAGTAGTAAAGCTGTATTCGTTCTGTGCCACAGAATGCAAGATTCACTGCACCAACGTGAGGTGCAAGGGCTAAAGGATTGTGGCTCTTGTTTCCATCACTTGAGCTGACATACATGTTCGTTCAGCTCGTGTGATGTTCCCGAGGATTAGGGAACTGATTCAGCTAAAAATCCAGTAGCAAAGACCCCACCTGTTGATGTTCTAAAAGTCACTTGGCAGAATGAATGCTCACTGCTAGGCACTTATTTTTGTCTATGGAATGTGTCTTTCACTGAGATATACTGTTTACAGATGCTCTCTCACATTTATGTTTTATGAGATAAATGCTTTCAGTGTGCCCAAATAATAACAGACAGTAAGCATTCAGACTTGGAAAGCAGTCTGTTGTAAAAATACCCGTGAGCTGCTGGAAACTAGGAGATGCATAAAGTTGGACTTGGGCTGGACTTATAATTCAACTGAGGTTTTAAACTGGCCCTGGGAAACATCAAATAAATGCAGAAACCAGCTCAGAGGTCCTATTTTTCTTAAAAAGTTTGACCTCCTATCTCACCATTTTGTAAGCATTGTATAGGATAAGGAACTCTCCCAGACATGAGGTGAGCATTTGAGTTCTTCAGGGACTAAAATCTGGATGCATCTGTTCTTTTTTCGTCCCGAATGATTTGTCTGTTGCCTTTTAGTGTAACTCAGGCAGCGTTTGTGCTGCTCTTAGTGCTGTGTTGTACGTGGGGAACTTTGTCCTTTAAATTACGGAATTGTCTTTTAAAAAATAAATAATTTTCAAAAGTGATCTCTAAAATACTGTTATTAAGACTGTAAATTCTAATGTTTGGAGGAAAGGAAATGCTAGATTTGTTTTGTGCTTTTCGTAAATTTATTATGAAGCTATATTTAAAAACACAGATAAAGTAGGTGATTATTTAGAGCGTAGCAGAGATGTAGTGGAGCACAATGGAGATCACAAAAGCTGCTTTAATTCTCATCTTTTCCAGTGTGTGTTTAATTGGTTTTGCACGCAGCCTAGTGCTTCTCTCATTCTTTTTTTTTTTTGTATGTAATTATAAGTTAATAGGAAAAAGTAGAGCGGGGAGCTTTGACGTAAAAAGCTGGGACATAAGGGTAGACGGCACTGTTCTGTGACAACCAAGTCCTACTATTATGCCCTTACTGCTTCATAATAATTTCTTATGGTCTCTCAAATATTTTAACATGTAAATAACACTGTCAATATATCATTGTTAGACTTGGGGGGATATTGATTAATTTGTTGAGTTTGTTTTCATGTGCTTGCTTTTTTGTGTTAATATGAGGGCCGTTTCCATGTATATATTAAAAAAAAACCACTTCCCTTTTCAAGGTAAATAGTTTTTTAAGAGAGTTCTGTAACAAGGCATTATAACTACTAAACCAGCAAGTTGTAACGTAATGTAGTTAGGAATTTCAGGAACAGTGTTTCTGTGCTTTCTTTTAGGATTGTCTTTCAGGTGTATTGCATACCAAGTATAAAAGTGGAAGCTCCATAGCATACAAAGGTAACATGAAAAAAGAGTGTTTGGATGTCTTTTTCAGGGAAAATATTTAGTTCAACTTTATCATTCCTACATTTATTTTAAGTAATTTTGTATTTTCTCACAGTGTACTTTAAATGAGTAGAAATTCTTGAGCTAGGGTTTGTGAAATCTGGGAAACAGCCTGGGAAAGTTAACATTGGTTCTCAACCTGTTTGTGTTTGAGATAATGAAAAACAGCAAACCTGTTGTTTGAAATAATTGGTAGCAGCCCACATCATCACACCGTATACGTTTGCCTTTAATGTCAAGATGCACGTTTAATATCTAGAATGCCTTTGGGCTTCCTGAGAAATGAGTCTTGCTAGTGCACTTGGATAGCAAGGTAAAACAATGTGTTATCAGCCTTTGCTTACAGATAAATTCGCATATGAATGCAGGCTTTAAAACTTCAGAAAGACGAACCTAATCTGAAAGCTAATGATGTTTCCAGCTCTACCTTTTTTAATTTTCTGAAGAAATCAGGCTTATGCAATTAATCGTGCTGATCTGTCTGACCAGGTTTCCCTCGTCATTTCCCTGGTAATTTTTTAACCCTATTTCAATCAAATATAAAAGGGATAAAGAAATCAGACTTCGTGTGGTCCCAGGAAGTTGTGTGAAAATTGAGAGTTGAATTGAGACGTAGAAAATCAAGTATTGTTATTTCTGTTCTTAACAGTGTGTTTTTGGTAATAGACTTAAATGTATAAGAAGAACTAGGAGTGCACAATGTTGAATATGAAAATCAGCTTATTTTTTTAAAAACTGTCAGGACAGTTTTCAACTATAAATAATTCTTCTTAAAGAAGAATCTCATTTGTTAAACTTCTTCAGTACTTTTTTGTGTTCTTAAACCTACATGTTTACACGGCAAGCATTCCTAATAAGCCGTTGTAGGATTTTCAAAGTCAGCTTCTCAAATGCAAAATGAAATTATTCCTGTTTTATGTATTTCATAGGTGACATGGACAGCTCACTGGAAAATACGACTCTTTCATCATCCAGTTGTTCTTTACAGTCAGAATTTACCCAAAGTGGAAGAAAGAACAGCATCAGTTCTTTTGATGATTTTCTACAAGGTTTTAAAAACTTGGATTGGTAAGAGCTCTTTCCTCTTCACCACTGCTATATTATTTATTGTCTTTCCAAAATCCAAATAAACCATGACTAAACTCTTAATACGTCAGGATTTTAAGGCTGATCCCCGTGCAAGGCGCAGATTCAGAAGTTGTTTTAAGAGTTCTGCTTTGTTGCTAAGTAAAAATCTGTTTGTGACACATACATGAAATAATGTGAATGCTGATTTTGATGAGAAATATTCTCATACCCTTTTCAGTACAAGGGTTATAACTTTGTGATATAAACTAATATGGGAGGAAAGCAAGCAACTCAGGCTGCTGAATGGCTTTAAGTTTATATTTAGAGTGATTCCAAAAGCCAAAAAAATCCCTCTCAAGAGCTACTTTACAGCAAGCATTAAAATAATAATGAAAAAAAGGTTTTTGTGTTTTTTAGCTGTTCTAGGTTTTGGTGGGTGGTGACGAGAGAAGAGTATTGATTAGACGCGCATTGGGTATACATGCGTTTACAGCATGAAAATTCTGTTTATTGTTACTGCTGTCAAGCTATCAGTGTCACCAATTGTTGTGGTTACACTCTTGAGAATAACAATGCCTTTCATCCAAATCATTTAATTCTGCTGCTTGATTTTGGTCAGATATTAAACTTTTAGATGGAGCAACGCTTAAATTTTTGTACAAATCCTTTCTCAATGCACATATGTAGTATGCAAGAAAGGGGCTCAGTAATTTCATATTTTTATTCTTTGTATTTTTTTTAGCTTCGATGAGCGAGATTCTTTTCATGATTTAAGTGAGCTAGAAAGAGAGGAAAAGATCCTTAACGGCTCTGGAGCTGATACAGTTCAACATACAGTTGTGTATATGGAAAAAGGTAATAAATATTAATTAGCAGTTTTAAATTTTTTTGTAACTGTGCAGTGTATAACACTTGACTTAAATTTTTTAGTAAATGCATTCCTATTCAGTTCATAAATGTAGCAATCAGCTAAAACATATTCTAATTTGGAGATTTAACTTTTCATATAAGCACGAGTCACTCCTCTGGAATTAGTTTAGGAGGTCCAGACATGTTGTGCAATACGAAGACACTTTTTAATCAGAAAAATCAACTTGTTGAAGTCACATGACCATCAGTTCTGCATAAGGTGAGTTAAGAAGCAAATTCTTTTGAAAAGTAGCTAGCTGTATTAACAAATATTGCAACTCTGTAGAATTGTCATTTTAAGGATCATAAACTGTCACTGAGTGGTGAGAGAAGGTTATCTGTTATCACTGAGTTAGCTCAGGAAATTCTGTCTGGAAGACTATAGTAGTGACTAACACTCCTCGGGGGAGAGGCTGACACACCAGAGGGCTGTGCTGCCCTTCAGAGGGACCTGGACAGGCTGGAGAGCTGGGCGGAGGGGGAACCTCCTGAAGTTCCACAAAGGCAAGGTTCAGCAAAGTGCAAGGTCCTGCACCTAGGGAGGAATAACCCCATGCACCCATGCACAGGCTGGGGGCTGACCTGCTGGCAAGCAGCTCTGCAGCGAAGGACCTGGGAGTGCTGGTGGAAAAGTTAAGCATGAGCCAGCAGTGTGCCCTTGTGGCCAAGAAGGGCCAGTGGGATCCAGGGTTGCATGAGGCAGAGTGTTGCCAGCAGGTGGAGGGAGGTGATCCTGCCCCTCTCCTCAGCCCTGGTGAAGCCACGTCTGGAGTCCTGGGTCCAATTCTGGGCTCCCCGGTACAAGAGGGACGTGGCACTCCTGGAGAAAGTCTAGCGGAGGGCTGTGAAGATGATGAGGGGACTGGAGCATGTCTCCTATAAAGAAAGGCTGAGAGAGCTGGGCCTGTCTAGCCTGGAGAAGATTGAGAGGTGATCTCATCAACATATACAAATATCTGAAGGGAGGGTGTCAAGAGGATGAGGCCAGTCTCTTCTGTGTGGTGCCCAGCGACAGGACAAGAGGCAACGGGCAGAAACTGAAGCACAGGAGGTTCTGTCCGAACCTGAGGAAGAACTTCTTTCCTGTGAGGGTGACAGAGCACTGGCACAGGTTGCCCAGAGAGGTTGTAGAATCTCCTTTGCTGGAGATATTCAAAAGCCACCTGGACGTGATCTTGTGCAATGTGCTCTCGGTGACCCTGCTTGAGCAGGGAGGCTGGACTAGATGATCTCCAGAGGTGCCTTCCAACCTCGGCCATTCTGTGGTTCTGTGACATGAATTCACTGCAAATATTTGAAATTGTTGCTGCTCTTGGAGGAGCCTGTGACTTTGTGAATCAGTGCAGATCTATCTTGTGGAGAGTTTTAGGTTTAGAAGAACATTTCTGAATTATTTTGGAAGAAGATGTGGAAATGCAGACACAGCCAGCAAACCAACCCCAAAGAGGCTAAAAAGAAGCTCAGAAGCTAGAGAGAACAGCTCAATGTGAACTATAATGGACTCTCACCAAAGATGTATTAAATGGATAGAGAGAGCTTAATCACCGCTTTGGTTACATCTTCTATAAAATTTAGAACTTTGACTTAAAAACAATTGAATTGCACTAAGGAAAATGCAGTTTACAGTAATTGAGATCAAAGGCGAAATAGAAACAGGATTCTGATAAATTCCGTACACCTTTTTTTCAGATATGACTATTTGTTTTGGTTTCTTCTCCCTTTTTCGTGTTTCTGTTATGATTTACGTGGCATTATATTGGTTAAACTCATAACGCATCATAATTGGAAGATACGAATTGTTCTTCATACCAGCATCTCTCAAAAGTGCCCTTCTTGCATTTCTTCACTTTTTTTCCATTGTTGTCTTCCACAAGAATTAGTTAAAATACTGAAAAAAAATTAGGTGAAAGTGCTGCCAGGCCTGGAGTCAGCACAGACAGGATACCAGAAAGCCCCATCCTGCATATTCTCTTGCCAGCAAGAGAAGGCAACCCACTGGTGGTCCTGCCGCCATAGCAGGTTCAGTGTGTGGCAGAATATGTTTGGTTTATTGTCTTGCTCCAGTGCATACCACTGCTACCACGTGCTTACCACCAGTCAGCCCTGATTACATCACTTACTTATCTTATTTGTCTTACCTTTTCCTGTTCTTGATGCACTTTCTCGCTGCCCTTTTCCTTCCTTCTCTCTTTTCCAGTCACCTGCCAAATAAACAATCCATCTCTAATTACTTTTTCACCGTTGGTCTGAGTTTTGCTACATCCACGCCCAAATTTTTATTTCTAATACTGTTACCTAGGTAGTCTTGGCCTTAGATGGTATTATTGGTAAGGTTACCTAGGTACTGTTGGCCTTTCAAGATTCAGGTAGCTGTGAATTTTGACCATTTAACTATTTGTGAAATCCAGCCATTCCTACTGTACTTTCTTCAGCTTTTTAGATTGTTATGTGTCACATTCAGCAGTTTCCTATTTTGTATCCAGTGCTTTCTCCCATCCTGCCCAGTTAGTTTAATGTCAGGCCAGGGTCTAATCAGCAGCTAGTCGCTTGCCTGAAGCTGTAACAAAAACGTTAGGAAATTTTGGTTAAATTGTGATTCATTCTGTGCTCAGATTTCATGCTGATATCTGTGAGACTTCTATTTTGAAATGGAGGCCATCATTTTATGTATAAAACTTCATTGATGGCTCATTGCTTTGAACAAGCCAAGGAAAGCAGCTTTGAGCAATTCTCCGTATCTCTCAGGAGATTCTTAGATTAATTCTTCATTTTGATACTTCTCGGTCTGTACTGGTCATTCTAAATGCTAAAAATATTTTCACTGTTATGGAAAAACAATCATTTGACTATTTATTTAAGACTCTCTTTTTAATGTAAAATGTCTTTTCCTTCCATAGATGACACCTTACCGCCCCATTTGGCTGCAAATACACAAACGTGTAGTGACCAGAATACTACCAATGGTTTCATAAGGAAGACTGTAAATGGACCTGCAACTCAAACAAGCAATAGTCAAGGCTTAATACCACCTCACATCGGTCAGATATATGATGAATTATTTGTCATACATCAGAAGCTCCAGGTGGGAACTAGAACAGCCTTAAAATTGTTATCTGTTATCGTGTAATGTTACAGAGTTTCTCAATTTTGACAGAGAATTCAGAAATTATTAATATGCTAAATCACTGTCATTTGACTCTTCTCCTAATTTTCATCCCATATTTACTATTCGTATTGTAGAATATGTTGGGGTTTTTGCTAACAATTAAATTATTACAGAGGCTCAGAAATACTGTGATGCTATAATGACATGGTTAACGATACGTTCTCCTGTGGTTAGAGAAGGAGAGCTATGGAATTTGGGGACTATCTGCTCAAGGACTTTGGACTTTAAGAGTCTGAGAATGCTTCGGGCTTCCCACTTGTAAGCATTACTTACAAGCCCTGAAAGGATATCCTGATCTGAAGTGCTGTGTTTTGAATCACAGCAGTCTTTTCATCTCTATGGTCAGGATTTGTATGTTGTGTACGTGCTCCGCAGCCTGGAGAACGTGGGAGCCAGGCCCTGGAGTTCTTGTATAGTTCGCGGTAGGTGAGGAGACATGAACTCCACCAAAAACTTTAGAGCAGATAAGTTTTAAGTTCTTACCCGTATCATTTGGAGAGTACGAGTTCACTGCTGTGGCAATAGTGCTTTGCCCTGCGTAGTGGTTAGATCAGGAGCTAAGATACTTACTTGCTCAGCTTGAGGGAATTAGAACACAGCACTGTTGCGTCAGAGTGTCTTGTGACACAGTGGGGGTGTGCAGGGGAACAGCTGCAACTGTTGCTTCTCTAGAGAGTGTCTGAAACTATTCTGATTCTGGATGTTCAAGAGTGCTTGCCTTACTGGCTTCCTGCAAAGCCCCCCCTTCTGCCTTGTCTTTCCTTCTCTACTAGTGGGGAGTCTCAGCCCTCTGGCAGTCCTAGGCCACTAACTGAAGAACCTTCTGTATGTTACGTTGGCTTTATTCTGTAATAGCTCTCACACTTCTGTTAAGTTGCCTGCCAGGACTGCTTGCACCCTATAAAGTAAAATTAACTCTTCCCCACCACTCTGTCTTCCCCACCGCTTTTCCTGAGATGCTTCCCACGAATTGAAGAACAAGTACACTAATCTAGTGTTCAGGGCAGACAGCCCCTTCAGACTCTGATCTCTCTTAAAGTTAGCAGCATTATCCAAAAGTTTCAGAAGCAAGAGCCTAAACTTAACTGTCTAGATAGATACTTGAACAACCGCGTGGAGTATTTTGGTAGGCCAGGCAACTCCATCTGCCTATCAAGGTTGTTAATGTGCGGGGAAGCTGAAAGGATCCTAATGTCCATCTGCTTTTAGTTAGTGAGGCATTTTGTAACATTCTGTATAATTTTACCAAAAGCTAAGGACATCTGTGGGGAAACATTCAAATTCAGTGTAAACTGGGATAACTTCATGGTTTTTAACGCCATTTCAATGTTATCTTCTTGATACAGCAAGAAAATTCAGCACAGCAGTAAT